TGACGTTTTCAAAATCATATCCAGTTGCTTGAGTAACTGCTTTTTGGGGTATCGTATTACCTGGATGTCTAACCTTCATCGACGCAAATCCCTTATGTTATGTTTCTCTCCACAGGAATGTCAACATAACACGTACGGTCCCCAGTGTGAGTTCTGCCTGCCTGGGTTTAACGGTGACGCCCGCGGGGGGACTCCTAATGACTGCGTGTCCACCACAGGTGTGGCCACCTGCCAGTGCAACGGACACTCCAACACCTGCGACGAGTTCGGCCGATGCCAGGTGAGTTACACCCGTTAGACCGAGGTGGATATGTTGAATTGCGTAAGACTCAGTGAAGGTGATGGTTCAAGGGCATAACACCAGGTAGTGCTGTGTACCGGTTCGCTGGACTGGTTCCGGACTTGTAAAAATGTTTAGGTTCGAGTCCAAAAAACCTAATAGCAAAGAACCTATTCCAGACTTATATTACAGAAAACCATGTCACATACTCCTTTTCTTTCCAAACCACTGTGCTGCAAAATGAAGAAAACATTGCCATCGGGCATCGTCAAGTGCCTGCCTCCATGTTATGTGGCCAAAGTTTCACCCAGACAACATTGCAAGGTTGCCAACATGCAATTTTGTACATGTATATGCCATGGATTTAGGTCCGAATTTACGAGTCCGGAACTGAACCTAAACCTCTGGACTTGAATCCGGACCTGAACCTTAATGTGGGTTTAGGTACACAGCACTACATGGACCCTGGACCCGGGATTGTTTCTGAGTCCAACGCTCGAATCATGTGTCACCGATGCCACAACAGATGTGATAATGCCACCTGAATTCTTCCCCCTGATGACAAATTATCTTGAAAACTCACATGGTAAGCTAGATGCCGTACGAATCAGAACCAGTCATTGTTGCCACAAAGAAGATGGTCACCAAAACATTGAACGTAAAAACTCACTTGTTGAAATAAAGAACCTTCTCATGGCAACCTATATCATTCACAGACACAGGTAAAGCTGTTTAATAATGTTTTGAAGTACTGTTTCGAAATTGTGTTGATTTTGACAATCGTATGAATTTCTCTAGGACTGCCAACACAACACATACGGGTTTAACTGCGAGAACTGCCTGCCCGGGTTCACCGGAGATGCCAGGGGGGGAACCCCCCAGGACTGCCGCGCAGACCAGCCGGGCCCGGCCTGTAACTGCTACGGACACTCCGACTCTTGTGACGAGTATGGGCGCTGTCAGGTACGTCGCTCCTGTGTCTCAGTGAAAACCAGGGGGAAGGTTATTTTTATTTACTTATTTTTTTTTTACTTAGTGGTCGCCACGTAAGACGGCTGTTAGGCCACTTCAAGGGTATGAATGGTTTGATCCACTCACGTGGGTTACGGGTTACCGAATAGAACTGTAACAGCAACTCTTGTCCCTGGGTCAGAAACATTATCAGGAGGGATAATTCATAAACGTATTGTTTGATGATCTGCACATTCAAGTTAATGAAGATCTGTTACAAGTTCGTGTCAAGAATGGATCTCATATTTCTATCATCATTGTGTATAAGTGAAATGCCATCTTTTTTTTTAACAGAATTTTGCATATCAAATGTATGTTTGAACAGTTTTAGTTGTGCTGGATAATGATTTTAAAAAACACTTAATCCGAAATTCCACGCTGCAAATGAGGCAACTCAAATGCCTCATTTCAGGGTTGCTCAAAGATGTCTGAAAGGTTGGTTGGTTGGTTGGTTGGTTGGTTGGTTGGTTGGTTGGTTGGTTGGTTGGTTGGTTGGTTGGTGTTGTTGTAGCTTGGTTGGTTGCTGTTTGGATGGTTTTGGATGTCTGGATGGTGGTTGGTTGAATGAGATGAATGGTGAAGTGGACATGAACGAACACACAGTTGACGCCTGCATCTCTGCAGTTCCCAATGATAAATCAGAAGCTCCCTGCTTCGATGTTCCAATCCCTCGCGAGTTTGCTCTACGAACCCCTGCAAGTTTGCTAATTGTGGTAACAAACAGGTGTCAGCAAACTGTACTTGCCGGCCTCCCCCATGGGTAAAATTGTTACCCTGTTGAGGACTCCCGGATCAAACCGTTGAACCAAGATGTGCAGGCAAATGGAGAGGAAACTCACCAGACATGTCCAAAACTGCAAGATGTTCACAGGCCTGACGGAAAGTGACGAGGAAGCCATCAGCAAGCCATTACCTAAGTTCAGGGACCAGATAAGATATCATTGGTATCATCTTGTGTGTATGCATGGTACATTCAATACAGTGCTATGCAGTCAGATACAAAGTCCCTTGAGTGACCACCATAGACAGGTTTGACTGTACCTGACAGAGATATGGCTATTGCACATCTCAATACATGTATGTTTTTCACAAGATCCATGGTAGAAACTCATTGTGCAAGCTAGGACTGTCTGTAGGTATGAGATGGTCTTCATCAGCCTAAAATGTTATGAGGATGCTGGCAATCTCTACATGTGGTATCCTATCCAACTTCAGTCTGCCAGAATGATGTTCAGCTGTCACCCACCAATGTGGACATCAGGTTTGAACATGCCTATAGAGCATTGTAAACATGTTGCATATCTCTGTAACAGTTTTAGTACGTAAAGCATAGCTGCAGTGGAATGTAGAGGCTGCATTCTAATAAAGGCATGTGTCTGTAGGCTTGCCAGCATAACACATTCGGCGCCAACTGTGAGTACTGTTTACCTGGGTTTACTGGTGATGCCAGGAAGGGAAGACCCGACGACTGCGTTGCTGAGACCAGATGTAACTGCCACGGCCACTCAAGCCAGTGTGATAGCAATGGGAACTGTATGGTAAGGTGCCTTGAAGCCTATGCCTATGAGCCATTGCATCAGAAAAAGCACTTCACTCAAGAGCACTGCACCAGTTGAGAGCATGATTTTTTTTTCACAGGAACCACATTTCAATAGTTAACTGAACACAGACAGTGAGCATTTTTTCAATCATGCAACTTGCAAGACAAGAAAGCTGCCTACCATCCACCCAGCATCCAGAATTGTTTATCATACTCTCTGGCATCCAGAACTGCTTATCTTCCTCTGCATCCTGAACTGCCTAGCATCCTTCCCAGCATCCAGAACTGCTTAGCAGCTTCCCAGCATCCAGAACTTCTTAGCATCCTCCTCTGCATCCAGAACTGCCTAGCATCCTCCTCTGCATCCAGAACTGCCTAGCATCCTCCCAGCATCCTGAACTGCCTAGCATCCTTCGAGCATCCAGAACTGCTTAGCATCCTCCTCTGCATCCAGAACTGCTCAGCATCCTCCCCAGCTGCTTAGCATCCTCCTCTGCATCAAGAACTGCTTAGCATCCTTCCCAGCATCCAGAACTGCCTAGCATCCTTCCTCAGCATCCAGAACTGCCTAGCATCCTTCCTCTGCATCCAGAACTGCTTAGCATCCTTCCCAGCATCCAGAACTGCTTAGCAGCTTCCCAGCATCCAGAACTTCTTAGCATCCTCCCAGCATCCAGAACTGCTTCTCATCCGCCTCGGCATCCCAAGCTACCAACATCATTTAGTCTCATCCTCAATATGCAGAGCATTTTATCAACATATCAGCCAACAATTTGAGCTAGGCCTGGTTGTTTTGCACTCCGCACCCAAGTTTATTGCTGCATCATTTTGCTTCTTACTTCATGCAGTCAGTTGATGTGTTTGGTTCAGGACTTTGACCAATGATCATGAGCAGACGTGACAGAGATGCAGCCACTGGTACAATTTCAATATATTCATGAAGAACAATTGCTTTTCACCAACAGGACTGCCAGCACAACACGTATGGTCCTCAGTGTGAGTACTGCGAGTCAGGGTTCGAAGGCGATGCACGCAGCGGCACTGCAAATGATTGCCAACCGGCAGCGCCCCCTTGTGAGTGCTATGGGCACTCCAGCCAGTGTGACTCCAGTGGTAACTGTGTGGTAAGTACTAGTATTAGCCCAATGGGAACTGGTATGAGCAGTGGTGACAAGACTGTCCTAGCCTGACTCCAGCCTTCCTACTTCTGTTCCTGCTTCTCTTCCTTTGTCTCTTCCTACTTTTCTTCCTACTTCTGTTCCATGTTTCTTTGTAGCAGTAGGCTTAGTCCAGTGGTTAGCAACCCTGCCTCTGGACCAAGAGGTTCGGAGTTCAATCCCGGCTATTGTCACTCACCCGACATGCGCGCTGCTGGAAATGGTCACAGTCCTTAGGACGGGACGTTAAGCCGTGGTCCACTGTTCATTGTGCTTGTTGAAAAGAGCAACAATGAAGCAGCTGTAAATACTGTACATAGTGTCTGTCTTCTCTTTCATGACCAGTAGAAGAGTGGCTCTTCAGGTAGCTTTACTGCTTCAAGATCACTCACTCACTCACTCACTCACTCACTGGGTCAAGTTTCCCTCGGTGCCAATGACTGCTCTCCATCTCTTCCTATCCTTCATTTCTACCATCAGGTTTTTCTTGTCGAGCTGGGTGTCGTCCATTAATTGGATTATTTTCTTGCTGGACGACCTAGACTTCTTTTTCCTTGACTGGGTTCCCACAGTAATAACTGGTGTATGATTTTTCAAGATCACTTTCCTTGAATTCCCTTCATATCAAGAAGTTTAAGTGGCACTGTCATGTATTGTCGTTGTCCATTTTGAACTGTTGAGAGGTATGCCGTATTGATAGACACATAACAAGGCACATGTATCACTCTTAACCACAGGACTGCCAGCACAACACCTACGGCCCTCAGTGTGACTACTGTATGCCTGGGTTTGAGGGCGATGCCAGGGGAGGCACTCCTGATGACTGCCGACAAGCGGCGCCCCCTTGTGAGTGCTACGGGCACTCCAGCCAGTGTGACTCCAGTGGTAACTGTGTGGTGAGCATACTTTTACTTTATATCAACCTCTGCAGATTTGTAATTGTAGCACTCCACCACGTTAACCAAGTGGTAAACAATGCACAGACTGTAGCCTGGTGTCCAGTCTATGGTGGTTGGGGCTTGGGGCTGCAGGAGCTCTTCCCCACCCGACCCAGCTTGGTTGCCTGGCAGGTTTTGAACAACGGTAGTTAAATTATTGTGGAGCAAATCAACTCCCAGCATGCAAAACCACAGGCATAACACCCCTACCGGGCGGTCTGTTGAGCTAGACTGGGGGAAAACTATCAGAGCCCCAAACACAACATCAGGCTACACAGACAGATGTGATAACAAAGTAAAAGACAAATGCAGTGGCAACATGTGCATTTAACCATTGCATAACTGTTTGGAAATGTCTTCAAAGTTCATTTGTTCTTACAATTATGAGTTGTGATATTGGGTTATTAATGCCTGCTTGTCATACAACAGCCTTGATTGGAGTATCTACAAGGGTCCTACCATATCCAAATGCATGCAGAGTATTTTTAAGTGTTCTGGTCAAGGCCAAATATCTAGTTGGTAATAGAAGTGTTAACTGGAGCGAATAGCGCCCCCTTGTGAGTGCCATTGGCACTACAGCTATGTTGAGCATCTTTGGGTTGAATTATTCTTGATACAAACTGCATAGCATGAATCTTACTACATGTAGGTCTTGATCACTGATGAAGTATCTTACATCTATTTATCTAAAAGCAGTGCAGAGCATTCCCAACTACTATTTAAAGAATTCTTTTATACTATCAATTCCTCAGAACATCACTTCAAGAATTGGCCCCAATCTGTGAAAATAACCAATCACTTTTAATTATCTAATTGTAGGACTGCCAACACAACACGTACGGTCCCCAGTGTGAGTACTGTATGCCTGGGTTTGAAGGCGATGCGCGTAGAGGCTCTGCAGATGACTGCCAGCAAGCGGCGCCCCCTTGTGAGTGCTACGGGCACTCCAGCCAGTGTGACTCCAGTGGTAACTGTGTGGTGAGCATTGTTGTTACATACCTCTCGGGAGCCTCTGCCCTGTGACTTCTTTAGACACTTTTCATGTTTTGTTCCATAGCCTAATAATGTATCAAGTGTCTGTGTACTAACTTTTGCACCTGTGAAAGCAACCACTTTGTTAGAATGTTCAACTCAGGTATCACTTGTTTGTCTGGTGGTAACATGGAGACTTTGTCCATTGATTGCTTGTTTACGAACGATTATGTGTGTAATCCTAGGACTGCCAGCACAACACATACGGTCCCCAGTGTGAGTACTGTATGCCTGGGTTTGAAGGCGATGCGCGTAGAGGCTCAGCAGATGACTGCCAGCAAGCGGCTCCCCCTTGTGAGTGCTACGGGCACTCCAGTCAGTGTGACTCCTTTGGTGACTGTGTGGTGAGCGCTCACGTATTTTCATACATTTGTACAGAAGCATGCACTGTGTCCTTACTAAGTGTCTGAATGTCTCCTGTGGTAATCTTATAACTTAGTCCATCTGTACATGTGCGTCTTTTGTTGACAAAAGCAATCATTTCCAATAACAGGACTGCCAGCACAACACATACGGTCCCCAGTGTGAGTACTGTATGCCTGGGTTTGACGGCGATGCTCGTAGAGGTACAGCTGATGACTGTCAGCAAGCGGCGCCCCCTTGTGAGTGCTACGGGCACTCCAGCCAGTGTGACAGCAGTGGTAACTGCCTGGTGAGCGCTCTTGCTTTTAGATATCGTTCCGGCCTGTATCTGGTCTTCTGGTACGTTTCTGTTTTGTCCTGTATTCTGTTGTGTTAATTCAGTGTGTACTAATTAATGCATGTGTAACAGTATGTCTACTGTTTAAAACACTTGGTCCATCTATGTATTGTGGACTTCAAAGGCCTTATAGATGTATTTAATCACAGGACTGCCAGCACAACACCTATGGCTCACAGTGTGAGTACTGTATGCCTGGGTTTGAGGGCGATGCGCGTAGAGGCTCTGCAGATGATTGCCAGCAAGCGGCGCCCCCTTGTGAGTGCTATGGGCACTCCAGTCAGTGTGACTCCAGTGGTAATTGTGTGGTAAGCGCTCCTGTTGTTTCTGCACTTTGCCTTCTGACACCACCTTACTGCTTTGCTCTATGTTGTACTGCTGTAGCTTGTTATTAACATAATTGTGTACTAAATGAACCAGTAGTAGCTGGCACTATCATTTGACACTCACGAATGCTTTTAACCGTAGGACTGCCAGCACAACACGTATGGCTCACAGTGTGAGTACTGTATGCCAGGGTTTGAAGGCGATGCGCGTAGAGGCTCTGCAGATGATTGCCAGCAAGCAGCGCCCCCTTGTGAGTGCTACGGGCACTCCAGCCAGTGTGACTCCTATGGTGACTGTTTGGTGAGCATTGTAGTTGTTTGAATGTTTCTGTACTGTGTTTTGTTTTTTCACACCATACTCATTATCATCAGTAGTCAATCACAATTATACTGAGAGCGTAGAGGGCATAAGACCTGAGGCACTCCTCTACAGTACAGGCATCCTGAGGGCATGTCCAATAAAGCGCAATTGCCGCAGTCTGACTCTATTGACCCTATTTGTGGCCATATATATTTAAGCATCACACCACACTGCTTTGCTCCTGTACTGCTGTATACATGTAACCGTGTACTATAATAATGCACCTGTAGTAGCAAGCACTATGTTTAACACACTGCACATACATTGCTTTTAATTGTAGGATTGCCAACACAACACATACGGTCCCCAGTGTGAGTACTGTATGCCTGGGTTTGAAGGCGATGCGCGTAGAGGCTCTGCAGATGATTGCCAGCAAGCGGCTCCCCCTTGTGAGTGCTACGGGCACTCCAGCCAGTGTGACTCCAGTGGTAACTGTGTGGTAAGCATTCATGCTGTTATGTTTTCCCTCGCAGAAGGAAAACATTGTCTCTGTTTTGTCTTCCTCTTCTTCTCCTGTTCCTAAACAAATAAAGTCAATGACCTGGACCAGATGGCTATCACTATGGTAACTGGAGGGGTATCAAACACCCTGCGGTGTTGGATTACATTATGAGGCAAGTGGCAGGACTGAGGTGCAAGGGCTGGTCTCCAAATTTGTGTGTTTGAGTAACAGTGAGCACAGCTGCAGTAGTTTGTTAGGCTAGACCAAGTGAAGGTAAACATTGTGCATTTTGCTCTGCAACTGTTTCTATGTATATGTGTTTCTGCAGTGTGTTTTGCCTAAAACCATACTGCTTTGCTTTATGTTGTGCTGCTGTATGTAATAACATAGCTGTGTACTATAAGG